TTTCAGATTTGGTGAGATGATGAGAGACCTAAAGGCGGAAGGCTAATTCTAAAAATAGTCCAACAAACAGATAAGAGAATGTATGCCACTGGTGATAACAACTGCCCAGTAAAACTTCTAAAACTCTTCTTATTAAAAACAGAAACAACTGCCACATCATTATTCAATCACATAATAAAAGATGCTATCAAAACTCCAACAAGTCATGAAACATGGTAGGTATAACAACAAACCATTAGGAAAAATACTTTTAGGTCATTTATCTCAGATATTTGCAATTCTTTCAAGTCCCCGAAATATGCGTTTAGAAACATGGTTGATACATTCCTCTTTTTCAAGAGGCAAACCATACAAGTTGCAATTCTGGAAATGCTCAAATGGTCTGGTATCTCCGCCCCCGAGAAAAGTGATGTATCTAAACCCATACAATGTAGTGCAACGCCACAGAGTCTCTGCAGTGCTTGTTTCCATAGAACCAGAGGAGCTTCGACAAGTGCCGATATTTCGTCATTCGACCAGTTTGGTTTTCTTACAGTAGAGGAGGAAGCCATTTTGTGACGAAAGCGACAGTGTCAGACGATGATATCGCGATATACGTCATCATTAATTGATTTCACGTCACGAATATTTAAACCTACGCCAAATTATTTACTTAAGTTTGTTTTTTTACTTACGCACACTTTAGTGAAACGGCCGTAAGTAAATACTTACGTTAAGCTCAAGTATAAAACTTACGTAAATACGTACGTACCTTAGTGAAAAGGGGGCCTGGTTTTGTTTGCTATTACTATTAGCAATCAAATACCTCAATTCATTTAAATTTAATTTCATTTGTGGAAATTAGTCTTTTAGGACTGTGTATCAAATGCAATATGTTACTCTATATAAAATTAATTTGAAAGATAAAAATACTTTAAAATAACCTTCAGTGAAATTGAATTAATTTGAATACTGGTTATGTGAATAACCCACTATTACATATTTACTTAAATTGCAACCAGATTTTATCAAAGATAACAATTGTTATACTATGTTTTGGAATAGCTTCTTTCCATCATCACTATTTTTGACATTGAAATTTTTTTTTATGGTATATTCATAATGTTTGTTATTTAATGTGAAGATCT